CCCCAAAACCCCAAAACCCCAAAACCCCAAAACCCCTAAAAAATTATATAATATTGAACTTAAAAGACCTCCAAAATGCCACCAACAAGACTTCTGACGCTAAAACTCGCCTTTGTGTCTCTCTTCCTGATTATTTTTAGTACTATTCAGTCTGACGTCTAGCTCTCTACTTCAACGACATTGAAGATGAGATCTTCTGGAGCAACAATTTCTTGTTGCCCGAGCTGACCTCAATCCTTGGTAAGGCTGTTTTACTAGTCATAGAGAACAAGGAGAAGCTTAAATAAGTGCACACTTGAGATAGAAGGGTCTCCTCAGATCAGCCTGATGGGTATGAACCCCTCAGCTGAAACCAAGGAGTACAGCATCATCCTTGGAATCCCTCGAGAGAGACATACTAAGCCTGAGGTTGATCAGCTTCAGTCTCCATGGCTCAAGTCTATTGATTTAAAGTTGAAGTTCCTTCAGGAGCTCTTTTTCGGCTCTGAACTGTCTTCAGTCGAGAAGACTCAGACAGCAGCAGATAAGGAGTTTCAGGCAAGGATTGAAGAATACCACCAGCATGCTGAGGAGAATGACAAGATCATTGACCTTCTCATCAATGCTACATCTGTTTCCATATTCTTCAATAACTAGTACGTGTTTATTCCTGCTTGCTATACCTTCATCAGAATGTTTGGAGTAGAAAGATTTTCTATAATTTTTCATATTTTAACTTTCACTTTAGCACTGAAGAAATTTATCTGTTAGCATTAGAACTAGTAAATTCTGAAGAGAGTAACAGGTCGATTCTTAGCTTGGTTCAGATCGAAGCAGAAAAAGACTTTAAGCACCCTGATGAAGCATTGAATGAAAAGTCTGAGGAAGAAAATAATATCTCACTGCTAGATGCAATTAATCCGCTCTCTCCTGAACTTGATAATTACCTTATGACTTCTTTCTGGATGAATGACTATGAAGAATCAAATCTTCTCACTATGAACATCACGCACAACCTGGTCTATTCAGGACAAGTATTTGAAGATGATTTTTCAGTTAAATTTAAGACTTATTGAGCTGCAATTTCAGACTCTGAGAAGGTCTTTCTGAGCTATCTAGGCCTGAGTCAATACAATATTGGCAACGCCCAAAAATATATTTTGGAAAATGATGATCAGATAACTTCTCTTGAATGTAGGAATAATACAGTGATGTTTAAATTAGAGCAGGATAAAGAGCAATATAGGATAATATCTCTTAAAAATCCTACAATTGAAGCTAAATCAAACAATGATTGGGTTGAAAATGTTTACTCAGAGTATTCCTCAAGCCTCAAGATACCATAAACAATCTTCAGCAATGTCCTAAACCTTGGCAAGTAGGTTTTAGGTCAAGGTTTAAGTCACTGTAGAAATCTAAATGGAGTTCTAGAATAATATTGAGAAAATATCTGAATTACTGTTACTTTTCAACATGTGTTAGATATTTCGGGGTTTTGGGGTTTTGGGGTTTTGGGGTTTTGGGGTTTTGGGGTTTTGGGG